ATGAGCAGCGGTTAGTTGCTGTTAAACATTCTGCTGCTAGTAGCTGGCACAATAACGGTTGCAGTTAAGACACATTGCTACATCCACCATTTTGTCAAATCTGTCACCAAGCAAATGTTGAAAGGCGTCTTTTATTTACTCTACAAATGCCCCTATTTGGGCATTATCTATACTCTTTTTTTCATTACAGCTGTTTTGTGGTTGTTGGTTATTAGAGTCAGAGAGTCTACAGCTATGCTAGCAGCTCTTATAGGCCCAGTGGTGCTTTGAGTTAACGCAACTGTGTCCTGAGACACTCTATTCAAATTTCACGTAAACTACTAATTTAATTCATTGTGTAATCGTTTTCAGTTAATTTAATGGTGTAAAAGTAAAGTCTAACTTTTTACCTTTCTAACTGAATATCATTTTAACCATTTACTTTAGCTTTGCCCATTTAGCTTCTGTTAAGTAGGACCACCCTTATCTCCTCAAACACTGAGCGCTGTTACTGTAGCAGGGGTATTAGGTCAACATCAACGCTGTCAACATATCAGGGATCTTACTTCTGTTCACAATAAGATAACATGCTTTAACAAATCCAAATTATACAGTAAAGGCTTACACAGTACAATGAAAATACAGAGTTTTAAGCAGGTTGACCAAGCTCACAATGACAATGCTAACATTAGCTAATTAGCGCTAAACATGAAGTACTGCTGAGGCTGTGGAGCCACAATTCATTCTCTGGGGTACATGAATAGGTATTTCACTCAAAACCACAAATATCAACCTCACGATGGCACTGGAGGAGAAAGTCAGGGTCCATTATGTCATTAGAATACATCGTCTGTAAACCATGAATGTCTGTACAAAATGTATGTACAAGAAAAGTAGGATTAGGACAAAATGAAGTATCTGTAATGTCTGTATCACAATCATGGCAGCGAGTAGTTGTTGAGATATTTCAGTCTGGACCAAAGTGGTGGCATTTACATCCTGAGAGCCACACTGCTAAAAACATTAACCCAGGTAAAGCTTTGCTGTTGTAGTGGTTACTTTACTAGAAGTCTCTTTTTTACTCTTTAACAGTAGTTAAAGAAATGTAACTGTTTCAGTGGAGACTGGCATTGAAGGGGGTTAAAACTGGAAGATGACAAGCAATAAATGCCAAGGCTAAACCCAACTCATCCATTTAAACAGATCAAACATTAGCACATAGGGCTTTAACAATATGTTTCATTGTTATATTGCTCAATAAAAGGCTTTCGATTCCCTTCACATGATAAATTAAAACAATTCAACATGCATTTTGCCCAAAATCTGCTGACTGATGAGGTTCTGTGGTTGTTGTGCTGAGATGATATCTTCTATTTTTGCCACAACAACTGGGTTTTTGTTTGTGTTGTGTATTGTATTGTATTGTATTGTGAAGCAAATCTTCTTAGATCTGCGGTTCAGAAACAACACGAAACATGTTGAGAAAACTAATTCATTTCATTTTGAGACCTCAGAAATGAAACTTTTATGATAATGGAATTCTTTTGCGGTTTTGTTGTGTAGTGCTGGTTGATAACTTCACTGATAATGCATATTTTAAAATGCAGTATGTGTATAGATTTTCTTTTATTTGGAGATTTTCAAATACTTAAGGTTTCTCAGTACCGTCAAACCCATCTACAGCAGTACAATCAGTTTAGCTTATCAGTACAGAAAGCAGAGACTTCCCTCTAAGGCCTGAATTTACTGCTAAGGCTCCTTGAGGGATTCTTGCTCTTAATGCAACCAGTTATCTGTGCTGGGAGGTACTCAGTTGATAAATTCTTAAGACTAACTTGTTCTCACCAGCCACCCTTTCCTCTGACATGCAAACCAGACCTCTTTTATCGGCTCTCGCTTCAGTTTAAAAGAACAGAGGAGAGTTACATCAGACACCGTGGTAGTAAAATGTTTGAGCTGGTTACAGACTGTCAGGTACACAAGCCTTCAGTTGTCAGTCATGATTGTTGTGCACATGTGGTAGTGGGATATGTACGTTTCCATGTGTGTGTGTTTGTGTGTCTTACCATGTGTGTTTTACATGCTATTTTAGTATGATCCTAATGGCTTTACAGAGTGCCAGGCATTTTAACAGAGCCAGGGAGAGGCTTGTAAAACACACACACACTCACCACAAGACAGAGAAGAGAGGCTGGCACACTGGAACATGGCCGTCTGGAGGGAGTCTGTCAGTGTGTGTGTCTGTGTGTGCATGTGTATGTGTATGTGTATGTGTGTGTGTGTGTGTGTGCATTAAGAGGGTCAGCCAGGGTGATGGTGACACATGATGAAGGAAAACGAGAAACACGGGCCTGAATGAAAGACAGGCAGTGTGTGTCTGCGATTGTGTGTAGGCAGGGTCAGGGTCTAAAGCAGACACATGGCGCCAAGTGGCACTGCCTGGGTATGGGTGGGTTTGGAGTCAGAGAGGGAAGGAGAGGCAAAAAGATTCAAACTGTGATGTTGTTAAGGGAAACATGTCACCAAAAACAACAGGAAAAAAAACAGCTTGCATTTTTAAAAACTCCCTAGCTCTAAAACCTACAGTAACACAGAGCAAGTGAGAGTAAACGGTAATGGTGATGGAGGCACTTAAGAGGAAAAATAAAGGAAAGAGGAATAATCTTCCTCAGGGTGAAGAAAAAACAAAGGCCTGAAGAAAGCAGTAAGTTGAGAGAGTGATGGAGGAGAATGTGATGAAGAGGATAGAGGAATGCAATGAAACAAAAAGTGGAGAGTTTTCACCCAAAAACCAAAAACCACAGAATAAAAGACTCCTTGTTGCTCTGGAAGTTAGTAATTAACTGTTTCTTTTTTTTTTTTTTTTACCCAAATTTGACCGAGCAATTCAATGAGCATTCTCTAAAATAACTTTTTGGTTTTAGGATAATCTCATTCATGCTAAAAACAGTGTTTATACCATTCATCAGACAATGATTGAAATTTGTTTTTATTCCTAATAGACTGCACTGAAGGAGCATTCACTATTTTTGTGTGTTTAAACCGTTTACTAGCAATTCTAAACATTTTTGTTCCTGTTTGAAATTTCCAAATCATACAATATTGTAAAGGTACAGGTACAGAGACTGAGAACTTACTTTATATGACAGCCAACATGTTGTGTTATGCTGTAATATGCCACAACTGCAGTGGAAACATACACAACCTTTGTTTATGCTTTTGTTATGAAAAACACCTCTGGTGGTCATGTGACTTTGACAGTGAGATCAGTGTTGCTTTGGCAACCCAAAGTGTCGGTATTTCACGACCTGAGAATGAGACTCAACAATCAACCATCTTTCTCGAGAATGACTGACCACGATGATTCCCTAACCTTAATCAAAATCAAGCAACCTTACGTTGTCCTTTAGGTGAATGTTGCAACTGCTTGATGCCAAGCAACGCTAACTTAACTTAAAACTAAAAAACGGCAGATATGATTTCTGTGATGTAAAACCTCACTCCAGAGCCTGAATCAAATGTGCATGTGGAAGCTAATCAATTGAAAAAACTGTAGCATGTCTTGACAATGTTTTGCAGGAAAGTAAAAGTATAAGTGATTTGTGGTAAACTGGTTAGAACGGTCTTTTAAGATTTTTTTTCCCACTAAGATGTAAATTTGGCTTGAACGTAGTTTGATTTAAATGCTTTCAATATTTTCAAATGTTCTTTATAAATATGAGGTAGGAATAAAATACTGGTCATCTAAAAGCATTCAGTTTTGTTAGATAAGCTTTCACAGCAGCCCGCATAATCAGTTTTAATTCTGAGTAGGGTTTTCTTTAAAAAATGTGGAGGCCGGGTGACTGGACCACAGATTACGGTCTGTATTTGTTTGAGTGAAAACAGGCTGATGATGAAAAATACGTATAGTAATTGTAAGTCCATGAAACTTACCCAGACCATTTCTCTGTGCCTTTAATGCACACCGTGATTAAATGACAAGTTAATTCAGTATATTCCAAGTTTATTTAAAGTGACACCATACCCACGCTGTGCCATATCTGAAGCACTCATGCTAAACAGAGACATTTCCCAGCAATAGGACATACAGTACAATAGGGCTTTCATGAGGACTGTAGGAAACTAGTCCTGCTGTACCCCAACCACACACTCTGTCACATTGCTCTGTGAGTGTGTGTGTGTCTAGAGTTACCGTTTTTCAATGTATACCACATGTAGCAACCATGTATCGACTGATATGTTTTCAATATGGGGAAAAAGACAGAAAGAGGGAGAGAAAGGCCACAACATTTTTTTAAATTTAATAATATACTGTTTACGTTCAATATCTAAAAACACAACTGGTTACCATGACAACGGCGCTACATCGAAAGCGAGCAGGTAGCCAGCCTTTCTTCAGCTTTCCCTAAGCCTCACCTTTTCTTTCCTCATCCTCAGTTCCCTTTTTCCTGGCTCTCCTCCCTCTCTCAGATGACAACTCTTTCGACAGTTAAATATACTCTTCATCTACCCTCCTTACTCCATATTTGAACCAAACCTCCTCCTCCTCCTCCTGCTGCCAAAAGCTCGAAGCAGAGTTTACTCCCTGTAAAATAAAACGTCTGAAAACAGTATTTGTTCTGCCGCCAGGAGCTTGTCGTCAGGTGACCCGCTGGAGTAAATCTTTTCAATAATGTCAAAGGCAGCGCCAAAAACCTGCCAGGGCCAGACCAGTGTGTGCCCTACTCCTACACACACATCCGCACAGTTATAGAAACACACTCACAGCGAGAACAATCACATAAACTCACAGACTTCATCACATATGTACAAGCTAGAACACAGAAACACACGCTCACTCAGTGGCTGATTTTAGGAACTGACAAATTGCAAGTGACAAAATGTCCTCACTTTTTCCCATATTTAAATTTTTTTTTTAAAGAGCATAAATTCTTTCTCTTTTGTGACGACTGACAAATGTCTTCACTTTGCATGATTTTCAGAAGTGCACGCACATACATGCACACAAACTGCCTCACCTGTTCCTGTGTCATGCTGTGCAGCTGCGTATGCCAGGAGGAGGAGTCAGAGCGGTGATAGGCGGGGGGCGGGGCGAAGTCCTGCAATATGATTGGGTCTCGCTCCTGACACAGCGAGGTCAGGTGACTGATGTACAGCTTCAGTTTGCTGCGATTCTGATTGAGGTCCAGGAGAGGAGAGAGAATCTGAAGGAGGGAGAAGAAATGATATGGGACAAAAATGAGAAGGATTTATTTTCACTGCACACAAAATATAGCAACAAAAAAGGGCAACGCTGCCTGTTTAAAAGTAAATATCAGTTGTGCTGCATGCTGAGCTGTACCAAAACAGAAACACAGTCTTACCAGAGAGAGAGAGAGAGAGAGAGAGAGAGGAAAAAAGAGGTGGTCTGAGAGCAGTGAATGCTGTTAGTTAAGTGTATTATTCTATTTAATTACAAGCTTTCAGTCAGAGATCTATACAGGCATAAAGGGCAAACAGAGAATGAAAGAACAGGTGCACATAGATTCAGCTAATTAACCTCAATGCAAAACACCTGTTTCTTTATATTTCCATGTGATTGGCTGTCTGAAACCAGTCGTTCACTACTCCCTGTAAATCACTCAATATCACTCTTGAGTGAACAGTAACTTGTAACATTTTGGAAACTTATGAATCATCATAATATTGCGTGTAGGTTTGCACAACAGCATTTTTTGTCTTTACAAAAGGTGACACATGGCATTGTATACTTGTCAGACACTACTTTTTTTGATTGATAGATTGAACAGAATTCAGATGCTAAAATTAAATGGCGGACAGTCTTTGGCAGGTCACAGTTTAATGCCAAACAGGTTAATGGAGACAAAAAATTAGAACTGGGTGATTCAAACATATAGAATGAAGTGAGACAAAAACAGACAAAGACATGGAAAGATGACAGAGGTTGTGATGTTGTAAAAAACACTCATGCACACCAGAAATCAGAAAACATATAATTAAGAATTTTGGATAATGTCACATTTTGTGCTTAGGCTGATTACTCTGATTACCACTGGTTAAATGCAGTCAATGATCAGATTTTCCCACGAGCATATTTCTTCTATATTTGATGTGAGGAACTGATGTGTAAGCTGCTACTTTAAAAAAAGTTTTAAGATGCAATTAATCATACGTAACTAGCTGTGTTAATGATATGTTTTGTGATATAGTAAAACCAGGTACTTCATTTACATGATTACTCAGAAGTGAGGTTGCTGCTGAAAGTTAAGGTATAATCTTTCTAAATAAATGCAGTAGCTATTTCTAAAACTATAGGACCAAAGTCTTGTGTCTGGATTTAATACATTTTAATAAAACAACGGAAGTGAGAGACATTCATAAGATTGTAAAGAAATGGTCAAAATAGGAAAAAATACATTTTGGTTTAGTCTAGGACTTAAGACATGACTATACACACACATGCATTTGACCTTTATTATACCAAATACCAAAATCTGTTGGAATATCTTGTTTTCAGTCAACTAACTGCAATATATCATTGTTACACAAATCAGTTTATCTAGTTTGTTTATGGAGAACTGATCCAGATGGCAAAGTGAACAGATTTGATAAAACTGAGAGACAAATTTGATTTCCTTGTTTAACAGCATTTGTTTCACAGTGGCCATGACTAATGGGTGTGAGCGTGGGAATGAGGAGCTAAACACACATATTGGGGGTATAAAACGAGACCCCCCAAGAGACACAAACACACACAGACACAGATAAGACATGCAGACACACACAGACACACACACACAGACACACACACACTCTCACACTATTCTCCTTGAGGAATAAAGGGATTTAAGTGCAGAGGAAACATGTTAAGAGGACTGTTAGTGTGTGTGCTGGTAAAGTATATTCAGTCCCAGCTGTGCCTGTCCACACCCTGTGCTCCATGCTCATCATCACTCAGCACACACACACACAC